CTCTGGATTCAAATTAAAAGTTCTATTCTTTTTGGGTTTGGTTTGGTTTTTTGGTGACCAACAATCTCGTTTTGAAATAAATGCTGGTTTGAATGCTCTTGCATTCGGGCGCGTGATCACAATGCATCCCTGAGATCTTCCAGAGCAACTTCAGAACGCAGTTGATTACGGAAGCTGGCGTGGAGATATCAATCCTGGCAATGTTGTTTGCTTGGCGAAGCGCTACATCGCAGATGGAGACCTCACACAACAACCTTTGCTTGTGTTGCCTTCAAGTCGGGTGCAGTGCGTTCCAAGCATGGTCCCCACTGTCAAGTATCCTGCTTGCATTTTTTCAATAATTGCTGTTCCAGTCAATTCTAGTCCATCTAATTTTTCTTACGCTTTGGACCTTCGTCCCTGGCATCCAAATCTTGCAATGCAGGCATGATAACAACCATTCAGAGTCTTTCCGGAAACAATGCCTACAGCTTGCTACTGCACTTTCTGAAACCTATGGAGCCCCTTATGCAAAGGCTGTGCAATACCTCAAGGACTGAAATGAAAGGTACATCATATAGTTACCAATGTTTTTTTACTTTTGAATCGAATGTTGTTATGTTCGAAACAATGGGGAATGGATTGTAACCTCTTACTACTATTTTTTGCGGAATAGCCATCCATTGACCAGCTATTTTAAGAAGGTATCCTAACTTTTAGGGTAATTTTGATTTGAAACAATGGGGATGAAATAACCTCTTAGTACTGCTATGTACTATTTTTTCTGCGGAATAACCATCCATCGACCAGCTATTTTGAGAAGATACCCTCAATTTTAAGATAACTTTGATTTGAATCACTGGGTATGGATAGAAACCTCTTAGTACTATTATTTTTCTGGGGAATAACCGAATAACCATCCATGGGCCAGCTATTCTTAAAAAGACCCTAAATTTAAGGGTAAGTTTCATTTTAGCTCATATAGTTATTTATGTTCATCGGTCCCTTCACAATAGCAGGATTTGGCAAGCAATCGCTTTTGGAGAGAGGCGGTGATGGACCCTTTGGTTTGGCACCGAGAACAAGGCCAACCACTGATTGGGCAACCCGTTTTCCATTTGCACCAAACAATCATAGATTCATTGGCCCCAAGTATGCCATTGAAGGCAGTCTTTTCTGGCGTGCGGCGGTAAAACAGAGTGGTAACTTTAACTTATAGTCACGATCTTGCACACGGAAAAAACTCGTTCCTTTTTTTTATTTTTTTTTTGAGGTACGAGTTGGCAAACTAGCACATGGAAAATTAAAAAACCTACGAGTAATACTAAATTATGTAATGATTTTCAATGTTCCCTCAGTTTTTTGCGTTTTTGGTTTTTTATATTTGAGATAAAGTATTCGAAAACACAACTCGTAGCTGAAACCCTGGTTTTTTGCAAATTTTCATTTTTGTGTGTGTATATGCAGTCGAAACCTCGATAAAGCTGCATTTTTTTCTATCTGCATGTTCTCGGCGAGCGTTCTATACCAGTCCTAGGAAATCGAACGTGGTAAATGTCTGCCTTAAACCTTGAATTGGTTGCAGTCCAACTATTTTTTGTATCCTATAATCTCAGAACTAATGCCATTAAATTTGCATGAATTGGTAGTATTTCAAATTATTTTTGTACTTTAAACTATGATATGTATATAATAAATATATATATATTGTGAAAATTGTATGAATTTGGTAACATTTTCAGATTATTTTTGTACCTTAAAAATTCAGAAAAAATAACACGAACTTTGTATGATTTGGTTGCATTTGCATTTGATTCTTATGCCTTAAAATATTATGGCATATATAATCACAGAACACATGGCATAAAATTTCTATGATTTGGTTGCATTTCCAATGTCTATGGCTCAGAATCTTGTGCAACCACATGTGTCTGATCAACACTAGTGGCATTAGAACTCACAAGTTGGCACGAATTAAATCTGTATTGCCCCCTTCTCAATCTCCTGGACGCTTTAGAGTATCAATGATCTGAACTGATTTATCGTTGGGTCAAAATTCTTCCATTCTAAACTTCCAGACATTGCGCGCGAACCCAAATCCCATTCAGCTTCAGGCGATTGATGCATCCAGCTGTGATGACACCTTGAAGCTGCCGCTGACTCTCTTGAAGTCAGTCGGCTCAAACATGATTATGTACTATTATTCACCTCTAATTATGTGCATCTGATTATAAACCCATTTACCATCGCCTGTCAAGGTATGATGTGCCAGAGGATGGATTGCCATCTATTGATGACTGGCTGGTGGCATTCACCTCTATCCTTTTGGATGGCCTTGAGTTGCAACGAGAACCACTGGATGTGTCAGCCGATCACTCAGAGTCAAATCTGTTTTGAAAAATGGTCATATATTATTACATTCCAATGTGGTTTTTGAATCTCAGAGTCAAATATGTTTTGGTAAATGACCTGTTATGACATGTTATGACATAATGTAGGTTTGCGAATCATCTGTGTCGAACTTCTTTTGCCCTTCTCACGCTACACATTCAATGGCCCTGAGGTCACCGACTTTCAGCCCGATGGTTCTGAGCTGCACGAAGGGTCTGGCACAGTCACGGCAGCTGCAGTCAAAGCATTGTATGATCAATTCTGCACATTGAGTTTCACGAGCACAAAGACAAAGATATGTGTATATTGTATTTTTCCCAGCTCAAGACTTGATACCAACATTTTGGATGCTTTCTGACCCCAGAAGGATATTTCTACTGTAAGCTTAGATTCGTCGTTTTTCCAGCAATGTCGTCGCAACATGAACGACAAACTCGTGACCACCGTGATTTGCTGCGCTTTATGTTTCAAACCTCCGCAAAGGGCCAAGGGAAGAGCTACCAGGATTCGGTTGGTAGCTGGCGTCAAAGCCTTCAGAATTCCGTCAGCGTTCATGCCAACAGTACAGAGGGTGACTCTGCTCTCAATTCAACAAACTGTTTGACTCTTCTTGCAAGTTTATAGGATTAAGGGTTTATATAATATATATATATAATAATAATAATAATATGCATAATATTGCAAAATCATTGTCATACTGATATTATATATGTCTTATGTTCTATAATGTAAGGGGAATGTTCAATATGTAGATATACAATATTGTTTTCAAGAAACCATGAAATGAATGATATAATTATATTATATAGATATTATACTGTTTTCTATGATGTTAATATCTCGTGTGTTTTTCTAGACTGTGTTTGCAGTTTTTGTGGCCTGGATGCCAGGCCACTGGGAGAAGAACCTTGGGACTGGAGAGTGGCGCTGGGTGGATTCTCATTGGTCCAGAGAGTGGACCAGAGAGTGGACCAGAGAGTGGACCAGAGAGTATCGATGTGATGGGCCTTCAACAACGTGGTCTCTCAGGAACAGGGGCAAGGGTCCGACCAACGTTGATGAGCACATGGGTCCAGTTGACAAGATGGAGACACCGACTGCTCATCCCTCTACCTAGGTGCCTGACCCAGAAATTGAGCAGGAAGAGCAGAAGCAGTGTGATCCTGACGATGGAGTTGTGGGAAGCTGGTCGTGGGAAGAGGGTGAGCAGCATGCAGCGTATTTGTCAAGCTTAGAGGCCCAGAGGCCAAAGGCCAAAGCCCGCCCAGTCAACAAGTGATTCAAGATCAATTGGTTTTTAATTACTAGCAGGTTGAGTTTAGATGTTGTGCTCGAAAAGAACTGGCGGGCTGATAGTTCTTTGTGGCTTGGTGTCCCACCCAGTGATCAGTGCTGTGCGCAAGGTCCAGAGAAAAAAGGATGCGTTTTCTCCCCCAAAAAAATTAGACTTTTCAAGTGTTCAAAGTGTGGGAGCCAAGGTTCTGGCAACATGAATCTCCAGCCCTTTTCTGTGGACGTGGTGAAGGGTTGGACCCGTTGCAGCTGCGTGGCATTTATTGCCTTGGCCGTTTCTGACCTCGACCCCACGGATGAGGATGTGCAGGCTGTGCTGATGCCACTGCATCGCGTCTTGGACAAAGCTTGGTTACTGCCAATGCATGCAGCTCAGCTTGAACTGACAATTGTTCATGGATCTTTTGACCAAAAGGAACCTATTGTAGGATGAAACATAGTATGGGAATATCTTCCTCATTGGGCTGTTGATTTCCTACCTTATTCATGGGAAAACGATTTGAACTTGCATGTTTAATCTGTTGATTTGGATTGTGGCTGGGGGTTGATAATTTCACCTGTTTCTTTGTATATTGTATGTCAAAGTATTTAATGGTTCTAAGTTCTAAGAGTTAAAACCATCCCATGTCCTGTTGTAAAATGTTTTGAAAAGATAGAAATGCTTGGGGCATCATATGACTATGCAAGACCAGAGTCCGGTCAAACGAACCTCCAAACCTTCTCTGTTCTTCTCAGGGATCCCAGTCTTTTCAATTCATGAATAAATTTCACTATTCCATACCTGCTGCAAAGTCTTTTCAACTGAGATTGCCTTGAACATGAACAAAGACGAGCAGTCTTTCCGGAACATTAGCCTTTCCTTTCGTGGCAGTGAACGCCAGCCTCCGACGGTTCTTCAGATGGCCTTGCGTTTCAGCAAAGTCATGGAGCGACAAGCTGCCGCGATGACGGGGAACACGGAGAGCCGGCTGAAGAAGGTGGTTTCCCAGTTCAACTCTACTCCTGGGTTGCATGTCAAGCACCAGGTGGACTACGACAAGGAGAGGACCATCCTGAACCTCATCATTGGCACTTGCAAGGACAGGCCGTGAAGTGCCGCCAGCTGCTGTAAGTTGCAACCCACCAACATATTTAAATTGGTTTGTGTGTCATGTTTGAAATTTGAAAGTAGAAGGGGGTTGTTTATCAATGGCTTAAATTGTAATTTAATTTCCTGGCATGAGGAAGCCCGTGACAAGATGATGAACCACCTTGCGTTCACGAAGTGGAAAGATTCGGCCTTTTCCTCGGAACAATTGCGCACCACACGGTGGTTGTTGGGGGCCAAACCGAGGGGCATGCCGGATGCCTTGTCTGAAATCCTCACCGTTGGTCCAGTTGCTCAGGCCATGCTCATTGACCTACATGTGAAGAGCTTTCAAGAGGCAACCAGACGGCTGAAGGTGTCTGCATGGTGCAGAAAGAGGGCAAGCCCAGAAGAGTTTGACAAGTACGTTGACTTTGCCTGTGTCTTTGCGTTTTTGCGTGCCGAAGCCAGGAAGATCACCTCAGACCCCTCTGTGGATTCCAAGCTCATCGAAGCCTTTATGAGCAAGTGTCTTGGATGAAGTCATGTAAGCAATCGAGTTGGGCATAGGACTTCTTCAAGTTTGTCTTCATCCTCCATTCTCAATATGCATATTTTAGAATTTGAAGCGCGAAAGAACTTGTTTCAATAATATTTAGGGATAGGTCTTCGCCTAGAATCAAATCATGATCTTCAACATGGCTGCTGCCAGTGATTGATTTGTTATTGATGTTTGTTTGCTGCATGATCTTGATCCTCGCCCTGGCTCCCAGGGACTACTTTGCGGACATCGAGGCTGTTACAGCCACAAAGAGCCCCCAGTTCCAAGTGCAGTCAGTCCTTGGCTGTTTGGGCGGACATCATTGCGCCTCCAATGATTCCAACGTCGCTTCAAGGAGACGCAGGTGCTGATGTCCTTGCAGCACAAGAGCAGGCCACGGCTTCCAAGTTCAGTGAGGTGAAGATTCGCTTGGCCGCAGATGCGCATGCAATGAACCAGTACAACTTGGAGCTGAACAAAACCGCCGGGAAGCAACACGTGGCCAAGGTTCTGCTTGAGAAGACCCAGCTTGCAACTGGCAAGAAGTCTCTTGTTGTGAGATGTTGTCTTCGGAATTTTGTATATTTTTGTTTGACTTTCAAGTTCAATTTTTATTGTTTTTTGTTGTGTCTGTGGTCCTAAGGGTGGTGGATGAGTTCATGCAGAATCACTGCTGGGTTGGCCTGGTGGGTGACATGGAGATGCCTGCTGAAGTTGACATCATTTTGAGGGCGACAGCAGTCAGGGCCCAGGTCTCCACCGACAAGGTGAATGTGATTGGCTGGATGGACCTCACGAAGTTGGGGGTTTTGGGGCAGAAGGATGTGAATCGCATCGGAGCATGGTGTGAAAAGCTGATCTCAAAGCGACCAACTGGCTGCTCGGTTCTGATTGGGAGTTTTGTCTTTAGGTCGTATATTATGTGATTTGGAAGACAGGTTTTCCAATAGATCTCATCATCGATGCAGTACATATGACATATGTATATATACATATGTTTAATTACTATGTTATATATAAATGTATGTTGAATCAATATTATAGATATATAGATATATGTATACCTTATATATATATATAGAGATTCATATGTTTAACATACATATATGACGCTATATTAATACATATTTTTCATAGTAATATATTCTTTACTTCAAAAAAAATATGTTCAACCCACAGCGCAATAGAATGTAATGATTAGCTGTTTGTTGGCTCTGTGGCAGGAACCGTCATCGTCATGGCCCTGCCGCTGCTGACTTCGACTGTGAGTTGCGGAGCGTTGCGGAACGACATCCGGAAGCTTTACTTGATGATTGAGTTTTTAACTGATTTCCAACAAAAAATGCTTCTACAATTTCTTCTTCTTTTGATCTTGCTGGCTGCAGCTGAGAAAGTTGGAGGACAAACTCCTGAACCATAGGATCGAGTTTCGATCCTTCTTCCTTCCCATGGATCTTGGCCAGCTGCATCACAATCGAGAATCGAGAGATGCCGGCAGGCTTCACGCTCTACCTTTGTGTGTCTGACTGCACATTGCCTGCGAAGGGCACTGCGCATCGCGCAAACCGCAATGCTGGAAAGGCGGCTGGGAAGTCGTTTTTTTTCTGGGTTCGTTTTCAAGAGCTGGCGGCTGGGAAGCCTGATGTTTTTTCTTCATTTTATTAACTAGCTGTGTTTTCAAGAGCTGACGGCTGGGAAGCCTGTTATAGTTATATATGATATTATGTTATCCTCATTTCTTAGCTAGTTTCGTTTTTGAGAGCTGGTGGCTGGGAAGCCTTCCCTTCCAGGTTGATCCTGCTGATGTCAACGTCTTTTGCAGCTCGCAGCTGTGGCGTGAGCAGTTGCTGCCAACGGTTTGCCGCCCCTTGGAGGAGTCGGAGTTTGTGATCCCGGGCTGTGCTCAGAGCAGTGCTGAGGGCAGACGAAACTACACGGATGTCCAGGAGACTGCACAATGGCTGGGAGGCAGCCAGATCCCGTCCGCAATTTTGGCCTCTTTGACCTCAGGTTTCTTGGTGTTTCTTTGACCTCAGCGTTTGAAATTTTGGGACTTTCGAACATATTGGGACTTTGGATATTTAGATAAGAATATATCGGGATGATCTGGGATGTAGTGGAAAAAAGAAATGGTTTTAAATTTAACAGGCACCATAACATCCACAAAGCTGCCTTGGGGGACATGGGGGCCCTATCATGCTGGGGTCTTGTCACGTTCCAGGCATTGGTGATTCGAACCCGACGATGCTGGCAAATGCCACCCTCTATGATGGGTGCGTCGAAAAGGCATGCATCAACATGGGCATCACGTGCTGCAGTCAAACTGACAGGCAGGCGCCCTTCAACACCGGCTTGCAGTTGGTGAAGTCCCACTTGTTGGACATGTGGAAAGCACGTGAAGGTGCGATGCAGAACAAGATTCCAAAGTACCAAGCTGAGCCAAACCAGTGTGATCTTCCAACTGGCCCTGCTGAGCCAGACTTCAAGCTTTGCAGCCTGGTCGATGGTTGCTTGGTCTTGCCGCGCGACGTGCGCACAGAGTTCCTCACAGACCCAGTTCGGGGACCAGAGTGGAGAAAAATTGTTGGTGAGTTTGACCGGTGCTTCGCAGTTGCAGCTTCGAGGGATGCAGCTGATGCTGTGCCTCAGGCCTCTGGTGAGCCAGCCAACCAGCAGCAAGCTGGCTTTTCCTGGGAATCCATCTTTGCAGATGAGCCGCGTGACAGGGCAAGCTGGCATCAGAAATACGATGGGCACGTGAAGGGGAAGTGTCAGTGGTGCGCTCAGTTGACGGCCTACCTTGTCACATCACCCTCTGCTGCTGGCGAAGATGAAACTCCCAGGTACATGCTGTTTGTGGAGGCAAGCGAGGACTACACCATCCCGAAGGATGATGCCTTTTTGGCCTACGGGGCGGGGACGTGGCTTCTTGATGGCAAAGCCGATGCCTACATTGAGGAAAACAACGACTACTTCAAGGGAGTTCTTTGCCAGTTTACTTCCGATGTGGCCTTGGTCGTCTTGGAGGCTGGTTTAGTCGAAACACTGACAGTTTGGATTTAAATACTTATGTTAAGTTGTTTCAAAGTTTCTTCAGTTCTTTTGCTTCAGTTGTGTGCTGCCGCCCATGTGGTAGGAAAGCGGCACCGACGGTCCCGTGAAGACTCTGCGTGAAATCATTCAGCAGTGTGAGACTGCTGGCCTTGTGGACTTTGAGTTGGCGGGCCACACCTACACCCGTCCGCCTGCTGTGGTGCAAGGAGTCTCCACTGACCAGTACCTCGTTTGTCTTGATGTTTAATGTAAGTTTTTTTCTTGGACCAAAGGTATTTTTATATTTTTTTGTGCCCTGAAGGTAAAGGATATTTATGGATATGTTGATTAAACACATGTTTATGTTTTTGGGCAGGTTTGATATCCAGCCGAAGAGTGGTTCCAAGATGGTTTGGCGACCCAATCAGCTTCAGCTGACGGGCTTGCGCGCACTGCCAGCTTCTTCATGTCCCAGGACTTGGACTCGTGTGCAACTTTGGACAAGGCCGGTTGGAAGGGTTGGTTTCAGTATTGATGTTAATCTATCTTGTTGTTGTATACATTTCACAAAATTTAATTTAATCACTGATGCTGTAACTTGTCACTGTATATTTTATATAAAGGGATGTAAGAAGTATAGATGAAGAGTTGGCTTCCCAGCCAAAGCAACATGGAGAGGGTTGGCCTCCCGGCCACATCTATTTCAGTAACATGAGAGGGTTGGCCTCCCGGCCACATCTTCATGGAAAGGGTTGACCTCCCGGCCACATCTATTTCAGCAACATGGAGAGGGTTGGCCTCCCGGCCACATCTATTTCAGCAACATGGAGAGGGTTGGCCTCCCGGCCGCATCTATTTCAGCAACATGGAGAGAGTTGGCCTGCGAATGCAAACTTTTAGGTATTATCTAAAGTACATTTATCACTTAGTCCTTACTTAGTGTATGATATTATTTGACTCAATATGTCTCAAGGTTTTTCACCCCGCAAGCATCCAACAGCCCACCACTCTTCTTTGGTTGCCCCGCCTGCTTGCCGTACAGGTGTGGCGCATGAGGGCCTACCGTACGGAAAAGACGGTCGGTGCAGCGAAACCCTTGTGGTATCTCAAGGCTGCGCTAAAGCTTTCAAAGGACACCGTGCAGAGACTCATCTGAAATCATCACTTGACCTGATTACATTGGTTAGTTATTGGAATCAAATATGTTTTGAACTGTTTCGGACAACTCATTTCAATGTACTGTTTCTAATCATTGTCATATACCGTGAGATGTGTATTGTTTTCTGATCATATACAGTGAGATCATGTTTCAAAGGATGTTGCAGTGAGTCTGGTGACCGGCAGCCATGGCATTAGCCTTGATTCGTGCCCGTGTTCTAATCTCTCTTGGGGGTTTGGACAAAGTGTTGCAAAGCAGCACTTTGATTCAAGTATTTTGATTTGCCTACTGGCATTTGCCGACTCGCCGGCACCTGGCATCTATGATTTGGGATGTGCTGGGATTTGGCCATGAGACGGCATCGAAAGAAGAGGAAAACCTCGCATCGAAACAAGAAGAAAACCATTAGCTGTCTTCAATCTCCTATGCACTGAGTTTCCTCTGTTTTTCAACTTGAGGACTGATAGCAAACTTTGGGAAGTTGGTGATGATAAACTTACGTGAAAACATTATTAGGCTCAAAATACATTTTCCATACCCGCTTGGGGCGGGCTAGCAATGCCGCTCATCGAGGTGGCAGACGAAGCTGATGATCACGTTGACTTCAAAGAACCAGACCCGGGGTCTACAGGATTCCACACAATTTCTGTTGATGCCCCGGTGGTTTCCTCCCACTCAGCCCCTTTTTCCTTCATCGGAAAGCTGGCCGAGCCTGTTGAACCAGCCAGTGATGCCTTCACCACTCCGCCTGCCAGGAAGGAGTCTTACAAGCCGATGTTTTCTCAGGAGGGGGGTGTATCCAAATCAAGCTTGTCAAATATGTAGTCCAAATTCACGACAAAAATAATCCTGCAACTTGGGGATAACAAAAGATACCTAACCATGTCATAAATGATATTTGTTTCCAATGCTGGGGATAACAAAAGATACCTAACCATGTCATAAATGATATTTGTTTCCAATGCTGGGGATAACAAGAGATACCTAACCATGTCATAAATGATATTTGTTTCCAATGCATCCATGTAAAGTAGTCCTCAGGAGAGTTTACCTGCGGGAGCTGAACCGATGAATGATGGACCTGACCCCAAGGGGCTTCTTCAGGATTTTGACAGTCAATGTGGTGGTGACACCAATCCGGAGATTCGTTTTAGAAAATGCTTAGCCCTGCTGAAGGTGACTCCCATGGAGGTGACGCCCCTAGCCCTGCTGGAGATGCTTCCCATGGAGGTGACGCCGCTGGAGATGATTCCCATGGAGGTGACGCCCCGCCTAGCCCTGCTGGAGATGACTCCCATGGCCCTGCTGAAGGTGACCTACCTCCTAAGTCTCCTCAGGAACCCAAGAAGAAACGTGTCTTCTTGAAGGATATGACCCCAAACAGCAAAGAGGTGGAATTGGAGAGGCGCAAACAGGCCAAGCGGGACAATTCCAACAAATGGCATTCCAAATGGGCATCCAAGGGAGTTAGAAAAAATGTTGATGAATGTGGAGGAGAAGAGCCCTCCTCGTCCGCAGCCCCTGCTGCAGCCGCAGCCCCTGCTGCAGCCGCAGACCCTGCTGAGCCTGAGGATGATGTCTTCCGGCCCGATGCTGAGCTGCTCCTGGATGCAGTCTCGGGAGACATGCGCAAGGTGAGGGCCAACTTCATGAAGAAATGGTCGGAATGGAAAGGGGGAACAAACCCAGAAATCGACCCTGAGACTCTGCGAACCATGAGCGGCAAGGCTTGGATGGAATCTGAACTGCGGGCTGAAATCATGGCCACCCGTAAGCATCAGCAATACTAACAAGTTTCTGAGGATCTGCGAGAAAAAATCACTGCTGTGAGTGCCATCTTTATCAATTGTACAATGTGACATGCATGCTGCAGTGAAATTTGCATTGGAATTTAAAAGAATTTATACTGTCCAAACATAGAGTTTCACCACATACCCACCCCGTTCGCTTGCAGGTGCTCCTTCTCTTCAAGATCACCAGCTTCATGCCGGCCGAGCGTGAGATTTGAAATGGTTCAACCATTGGGCTGGGAAGTCCTTTATTGTAAATAAATATGTTGGGGAAAAATAGGTCTGGGAAGACCTTTAGGGCTGGGAAGTCCGCAAATTTAATCATGCATAAGTAACACACGGTTGCCTGTTTTATCATAGTACTATTCAAATCTATTCAACGCATGCATTCCACACAGTTCCCAACAGTTAACTTACATTTGAAGGATCAAACAAATATGTTTTGACAATGTTGCTACCATAGAACTGTTATATGATGTTATATATGGTTATGTGGTTTCAACCTTCTTTGAGCCAATCCCCACACATGTCCTGTTGTTGTGGCAGGGTCATTTCATTTAACACAGTTTTCACAAGTTTGTGCTGACTAGTTGGGCTCTAAAATAACTATATAAAGGTCAACAATCGAGAATCTCAGGCCCAAAAGACGACATAATGTCGACCAATAAATAAATTGAACCCTTAACCTAGTTGTTATTTCTCAGGAGGGGCCATCTGATAGTTCAATGGTATCCCCCCAATCTCTTATTATGTGGTTATTTAATTCAATGTGACATTACATATCAGTTATGCAGTTATGTGGGCTTTTGAGCCTGAGATTCTCGGTTGTTGACCTTAATTTTGTAAATTCTTTCGCTCGCCCTACCAGAACCTCCTTTGAAGAGGTCACACCGTTGGCCGGGTGTGGGGCTGGAACCTTGCCTTGGGGCCAACGCACCACCTGTAGCAATAAAGCAGGTGGTGTATGAGAGCAGGACACATGGGCTAAAGTGCCTGCTCGGGCAAACCTGGCTACGCAACTTGGGGCATTGCTGCATGGGTACCCGTGGCAATGCTTCCAAGTTGCAGAACCGGGGGTTCCGAGCATGCCCATATTTGGCTGCAATGGCACTGGCATGAAGAATATGAGCCGATGTGTAGCCTGATTCACCTGGTTTGTCGATCATACATGCACGACAATAGAAAGTGCATGGTGCCACCCATGAGTCACCATTAATGTCACAAGCCGATGGACGGAGAAGGCCTGTACGAACGGCTTCTCCCATGGACCATACATTTGTGTTATGGGCAAAGGAAAAGAAGTGAGCGAATTGGGATTCATCTGAGGTCTTCCAAATTGAAGGTGTCAACCATGCCACCACTACCACTGGTACCCGATTTTGGTGGAGCACTTCACACTTGCGAATGAGAAATCGATTCTTAGGACACAACAACACAGATCGAAGGAGAAATTCATACGCCGATTGAATGGAAGAGCGCACTGGATTTGGGACAGTGTCCCACTGCACTTGTGATGTCAGTCTGTTGCTGATACCATTGAAACAACTCAGCATCTTGGAGAACATCTCCTTGAGTATAATATCGAGCATCTTGTTGATATTTCAGGAGATTTGGTTTCCAACTTTGAGTCTTCGGATCTTCAATAATCAAGTCGAGTTCGAAAGCATTTTTGATTCTCTGAGGATCATTGGCTACAAGTGGTCCAACTTTCAACAATTGTTGGTAGAGACAAAGACCGTCGATATGTCGGTTCTCCTTCTGTAGCAACTCACTATTGAACCGAGCGATCGATGGAGTGACCCATGCAACCTTTTCCCCATGTAAACGGCGACGAATGAATGGATGTGGAACTTCAAACACTTCATACATAGACAAGTTCGCACGGCCAATTGTGGTGGTCATTCCTAATTGAATGTCTGAGTGAAGTAATGGCGGATTAACTTCATACCAAAGTGTCTGACCAAACCATTCCATGGTGTGTCGTCCCATGAGTGACGATGCATCACTCTTTGGCCTGGGTTCTAAATCTTGAGCATTCAAACTCAATGACAACACAAGTTGTCTTGACTTGGACGGATCTAATTTGTTTGGTGGAAACTGAGTTTGCTTGGGCACTGATGCAACACGATCTTTCTAGGGTGTGTTGTGGGATGTCTCCACAGTTCGTTCGGATTTGTGTTGCTTTGACCTTGACCTCTCACGTCTTCTGGACCGATCATGACGACGAGAACTATCACGGTGTCGTCGAAGACATGAGTGTGTAGGACAAACTGGTCTGCGAAGTGGTGAGCGGGACTGTCGATGATGAGTGATTGATCGTTGGTCACGTCTGTCACCTGCAGGCTCTAATGCCATCGATGTGTCTAAGGCCCAGGCTGGGAGCGACCGATTCGAACGTGGATCAATGTGTACGTTGATGGGACGACTACTTGATCCCATAACAAAGTGTGTCATGGCCTGGAACTGTTGCATCTGAAGTTGCAACAATTGATGAACCTGTCCTTGCTGCATCTGTTGACCTTCCAGCACTTGAGTCAAAAGGTGCTGTTGTTGATTGATCATGGTCATCAGTTGACGGTCACGATTGTCTCTTTCCTTTGAGACCAACTGTTCAATACTTGGAGGGATACAACCCGAAGCTAACGGTTCAGGTGGAGGTGGACTGGCAGATTTTGCAAAAGCCCACGAAGGAATCGAGGAATTGGACATGGCTTCGTCCCCCGCTAGTGTCAGTCAAAATTATTAGTCAAAATTATACACATAATAACTATGCAACATGCAAAATTTCACAAATTGACTTGCGAAAGTTCATAAAAAGAAACTGTGAATTCCATGAAACAAGGGAGTTTCAAATCGTGACTGACATAAGGCAAGATATTCAATGATCGCTTAGCAGTGGATAGTTCCATGTGAATCTTGAACCACAGTGACAGGGATAGAACTCAAACAAGGAAAGGTAGTTCAACGAAACTGTGCAATCCAGCTTGCAGACGATCCAGCCTTGACTGTCTCTGAAAATAATTGTGGCGTCTTTTGATCGTTCTTTTGATCCGGCCTATTGGATCGGTCTGCTGATGTTGTCATCAGGTAAGAAAACACATTGCGCACTACTCTCATTTCGATCACGGAATTGCCTGCACTTGAAATGATAGACATTAGTAAGAATGTCAAGATAAGTGAAATATTCACTCCGAATACAAGATCATTGTTAAAACTTGAAACACAAAATGTTATCAGCAAACAAAACGGGGAAACCACAATGGAGTTCCAAAAGTCCAGAACCTTTTCTGAGATTGACTCAGGCTACCACAGGGCCACGACGATTATAGAAACTCCGCCTTATGGCTACTCCGCCTTATGGCTTCTCCGCCTTATGGCTTCTCCGCCTTATGGCTTCTCCGCCTTATGGCTGCTTCATCAGTGCCACTAGGCAGTACTTCCGTGCCGACTTACAACCCACCTCGGTTCGCGACACTGACTTCCACTACACTCTGGGTGTAGACTACTCCGGCCCTGGGTTTCCCCCGGCTCTCTGCCCTGTGAGACTGCACAGTCAAGTTTCTATGCCAGGCGAACCCGACAGACGGTACGCTCGATCTAGAGCAAGTACCCGAAACACACTGAGATATGGTTCCGTAAGGAACGCGATGAGATTCGATATGGTGATGAAGATGTATACGCCTTGATGAACCTAAGTGGCCTTACGAGATCGGATGCCACACGTGCTGACAGGGTGAACTTGCCAACATGATACACATTCCAGTGTAAAGGACTCTCAAAACATACCAAGGATGACAGCTTGTCAAAAGTTTCAAACTTCTTTGCAGGTACACAGTTGGACGTCTCCAACTGCTTCCCATGACATCACTAGCTTCGTTGGCCAGCGTCGTGATGCCATGCGCTGGCCCCCTGCTACTGGTTCTTAATTTATCAAAATTCGGATCTCGCAAACTGAAAGCTCGCAGAAATGAATTCTTGCAAAATTAATTACCGCAAACTGAATCTCGCCAAACTGACACACATAAATGAAATCCGGGAGATGCTACTGCCTCCAAGATCGAAGCTCAATACGACATGTGAATGACGACAAATGAATAACTTCGGCTTGAATGGATAGCCGTTTACACACACACAAACACAAACACACACACACACACTTTCACACACAGAGACCGGACCCGTGAAATCGCAATTTTACTTCAGTTTTTGACGTCCAACGTCCATTTCGTGCGAAAGGGTTGCGATGGGCCAAGTAAAATCGCAATTTTACCCCAGTTTTTGACGTCCAACGTCCATTTCGTGCGAAAGGGTTGCGATGGGCCAAGTAAAATCGCAATTTTACCCCAGTTTTTGACGTCCAACGTCCATTTCGTGCGAAAGGGTTGCGATGGGCCAAATAAAATCGCAATTTTACCCCAGTTTTTGACGTCCAACGTCCATTTCGTGCGAAAGGGTTGCGATGGGCCAAGTAAAACCGCAACTTTAAGGGTTGCGATGGGCCAAGTAAAATCGCAATTTTACCCCAGTTTTTGACGTCCAACGTCCATTTCGTGCGAAAGGGTTGCGATGGGCCAAGTAAAATCGCAATTTTACCCCAGTTTTTGACGTCCAACGTCCATTTCGTGCGAAAGGGTTGCGATGGGCCAAGTAAAACCGCAACTTTACCCCAGTTTTTGACGTCCACCGTCCATTTCGTGCGATGGGCCAAGTAAAATCGCAATTTTACCCCAGTTTTTGACGTCCAACGTCCATTTCGTGCGAAAGGGTTGCGATGGGCCAAGTAAAATCGCAATTTTACCCTAGTTTTTGACGTCCAACGTCCATTTCATCTCAAAGGGTTGCGTTTCGTGGCGCTCCGGCGGCACCGCCCCCGCCTTAAGAGAGAGATAGAAAGAAGAGCGAGAGAAGATGTGAAGGTGTGAAGATGTAGATCTGCAGGTGTGAAGGTGTGAAGATGTAGATCTGCAGATGTGAGGGTGTTAAGATGTAAATCAGCAGATGTGAAGGTGTGAAGATGGATCAGCAGGTGTGAGGGTGTGAAGATGTAGATCAGCAGATGTGAGGGTGTGAAGATGTAGATTAGGAGGTGTGAGGGTGTGAAGATGTAGATCTGCAGATGTGAGGGTGTGAAGATGTAGATCAGCAGATGTGAGAGTGTGAAGATGTAGATCAGCAGGTGTGAAGGTGTGAAGATGTAGATCAGCAAATGTGAGGGTGTGAAGATGTAGATCAGCAAATGTGAGGGTGTGAAGATGTAGATCAGCAGGTGTGAAAGTCTGAAGATGTAGATCAGCAAGTGTGAAGGTGTGAAGATGTAGATCAGCAGATGTGAGGGTGTGAAGATGTATATAACGGCTGCTTTTTTTACGAAGAACCCTTCGCAGGCGCTCTCGGGAAAAACCTCGCTTCATACATGCATACATACATAGATACATAGATACATACATACATGCATACATACATCCATACATCCATACATACCATACATACCATACATACCATACATACCATACATACCATACATACCATACATACCATACATACCATACATACCATACATACCATACATACCATACATACCATACATACCATACATACCATACATACCATACATACCATACATACCATACATACCATACATACATACATGCATACTGTAGCTAGACGTAGCTAAGCCGTGCAGTAGGTCCACCGTAGCTGTCTTTTGTGTTTCACTTGTTGCGTTGTACAGTGTACAGTGTATGCCTTTTGGCTCAAGTGGCTCGTTAGCTTAGTGTAGGCGTAGCTGCTTGCAGGGTCGTCTCGACCGCCGCCCGCGACTTGCGCGCGTGGGTGAAAACAGCTGAGCGGCCGGGGTCCATCTCGCCCACAATTGGGGGCTGTTCTGGGAAGCCTGTGCTGTTAAGTTCAGCCAGGTAGTCGCGGTCACTGTCGCGGTTCGCGCTTTGACGCGCTACCCGCGGCAGCGGTCTGCGCTTCGCGCCGCTGCGCGGTAGGGTTTGCGCTGTTTGCGCATTCCTGCCGCGATGAGCCGTGAAGTGTCAGGAGAAGCTGAAGGGGTAACATTGCTGGATGCAATTGATGCGGGTCGGATCCCGCGCCCCGCTGAAATGACTTTTCCAAGATGGCAAGCCTGGCGACGCGGTGAAGGCATGAGACCCACGCGTCGACGGGATGGACGAGGCCTGACCACTGCTGAAGAGGTAGAGCTGTGGAGAGAAGTCATGCGGCATCTCTATGGAGACGATCGAGCAGATGCGCTCGGAGAAGAAGATGAGGAAGGAGAAATGGAAGGAAGTCCTGAAGGGGTTCTGGCGATTCCTCACGCGGTTTCACCCAGTCCGTCCGAACCGCCAGAGGGCAGCCCAACTCCTCCTGTTGCAGGTTCTGCGGCTGCAAGCGTGACTGGCTTGAGAGCCCAGATCAGAGCCCTTTATGATCCTGAAAAAGAAGACCTGGGTGACTATCTCTTACGAATGGGACGAATCGTCACTGCACTTCAGGTCTTGGACGCAGGGTGTGCTCCAAACACGCTTGACTTGATCACCCGCAAGGCTGAGATCTTGATCGAGCTGTACGGTGAAATCGGCACTATGGATCGAAGACGCGCCGTAGCAGTTCTGAGGGACAAGTTCACGGCGTATGCCTTGGACGACAAGATGAGCCCTCGAGAGAAAGACCTCTCTATCGGAGCGGTAGGAGAGATCATTTTCAGCAGCTGGGAGGGTATCCAAGTGCGAGTCCTGACAAGGTTCTCAGTACTCCATCCGATTCCAAAGGAAGCGGAGCAAAGAAGGATGGCCCCTCAGGTCCTGCTGGAAGAGGTGACAAGTCTCCTGGCGGCGAGAGTTTCGCTTTAAAAGCTAAGCTCGCAGCCTTGGAGATGGAAGTGGAAGCTCTGAGAGCACCAAAGAAGGACACATGTGGGCGATGTCGGATGCCGGAGGATCGGTGGAGTCGGTTAGCGGACTTGCCGCGGCTTTGGAAGCACAGACAAAGGTGCTGAAGGAAGCCCTCGCGGGTCGCAGTCGCAGTACCAGTTCTGTGACCGCGGTCAAAACGGATCTCCACTGGCCGACACTTGGAGACGATCGCTCTGATTTTCGCGATGTGACCCAATTTTATCAGGAGTTTGAGGACATCTGCGGCCTAGCCAACTCTTGCAAAGGAATGAGTGCGAGGGAGATGCTGTTAGCACTCCGGTCCAGATGCAGGGGTAGTCGTCTGAAGACGTATACCAGAACCTGTACAAGACCGCTTGGCAAGCCGGAGAGGTTGTGAACAGCCCGGAAACGGTCTACGAGCGAATCAAGGCTAAGCACCTCGTGTTCAGTGAGTCCAGAGAAGAACGTGAGATTCGCATCGACAGCGAGCATGCCAGCCTGGCAAAGGGGAAGCTTATACCGGGCACCAGTTCGAACCGTTGTTTGAGCATTCAGTGGCGGAGCTCGAGTCGGTCGGCCTTGGCAAGACTCCTCGAGAACTTTTCCTGAGCTATCTTCGAAAGGTCAGCCCTACGCTTCAAAAGGAGATCAGGGGAGACAAGAGGCTATGGGGCTCCGAAGCAGTTCTGAGCGGACCTCAGACATGGGAAGAGGCCCACAAGGTGGTCCTCGAATTTGAGCAACGGGAGGCAACCAACCGAGCTACCGCAAGTGCAGTCTACACACTCCATGGTGAAGGTGAGGACCGTCCGAGTGGCCGACCAAAGCACCCGAAGAAAGTGAAGAAGGACGCTAAGGAAGGCCTGGCATCGGGTGCAAACCCTGAGCATCGAATATTGATTGTAATCAATAAGATAACAAAGATATTGATTTTGGATTTTTTCAATATTTCTAATTGATTTAGTTTGCCATGAAAATCAATAAGGAAATCAATAGCCAAAACAACTTTTGTAGGGCTTGAAATCAATAGCAAACAGCAGTAGTTTGACCTTGTAAATCAATACAGTTCAAGGCCAAGGATATAGAGTTCAGCAGCCTAAGGAGCTCCAAAATTGCTCTTTTTTTCCACTTGTCAAAGCTCCATAGGCCATCCTTTTGTCAAGGAGGCTTAGGCCTACCTTTTGGCAAGGTAAACCATGCAAGGTGAAACAGGATTTCTAGCAACTTCCTTTTGCCAAGAAAGCACAAGCATGTGCAGATTCCCTTTTGTCAAGGAAAAGGCTAGTACTCTAGGTCACTGTCTGGTGTGACAGCTCCTATTTCAAAGCCAAGCCTGGTGAGCTGCATATGGAGCAAAATTCGATATTTCACCAAAAGTTTAGCACTTAGCCTTGTGCTTTTCACTCCCATTGCAATTGAACTTCCCAATCGTGACACCCTGCCAACAAAGTCCTCTGCTCTGAAATTCCATGTATACTTGGGATTCAAAAATTGAAAATTTTTGATGAGGTGGTGCATGGCATGGAACTTCCAAACTATATGATAGAGCTTTCTATCATTTTCTTGGGCCCACTGGTTGAGGCCCCAATAGAGCTCACAAAACCTTTTGTCAAGGTTGAGAGCTTCAAGGTGTTCCTCTTGGGTGGGGAACATATCGGCTCTGTCAATCAAATTCACCAACTCAACCATTGACTGCAAAGCTCCTACCATGTGCTGGTGCAATGCATCATCTGCATCCAGCATTGCTTTGAGAACTGGAAGAAAAGCTGCCAAGAGGTGTTTTGTTTCAGCACCTTTGCAGTCAAGCTTTGGGTACTCTTTGTGTGGCTGCCTTGGATCACAAATCATTGAGAGTTTCAGATTTGTTAATCTTGTGCTGGAACCGAGCAATCTGCAATTTTCTTGGACCTGGTTGAAGATAAGTGCTAGTCTATCACCAGGTTTCTTGGTCTGTTTTCCTTTTCCTTGAAAATAACAGAGATGGTGCAGCAAAGATCCCAATAGATGATTGCAAACACCTTTGCAAAACAACACATGTAAACCGTCCTGCCTCACCATCCTAGTGGTCAGCCCTGGGATGTTGAATAAGGGGTGGGCATGGCCTTTTGTCAAGGCTGCAGGTGTATCGATGTATTCATAATTCTGGTCATTGGCCAAAAGAAGTTTGAAACTCTTGCCTGCTGGGCAGGGTTCCTTTTTGATCATTGGCTGCATACAGTCGCACTCATGGCAAGGTGAGTAATTGTTCCAGTGGGGCAAGGACAGGATGTTGGAGAACATCTCCTGATCTCCTTGCACTGACCAGATGCAGCATCTGAACCCCCTTTGTGTCAAAGGTTGCCCAGCAAGCTTTTCAAACACAGACCCTTTTGGCAAGGGTCCATTGTTTGGGCCATAGGATGGATGCACACCATCCTGCAAAGCTTCAAAGGACCATAGGATCCAATCCATCAAGGGTTTCCAAGTTTTGTCATGTATAGTACAAGATTTGGGAAACCCAGCAATCAAGAAGTGAGAAGTGAGGCTGCTGTATGCATTGAGGAAGCCACCCCAATTCCAAACCAGCAAAGAATCTCTTTGCTGGTACTCTACACCATCAGCATGCAAAAAGAGTGGTATGGTGAGGGACTTGTCCTGCACCTTTCCTTTGGCAACCCCAGTCCTTTTGTCAAGGCATATGGGGTGAGCCATGAGCCTGTCATCTTTCACATACTCGACACCTTGCCAAAAACTTTCGAGGTCTTCCACACCAAAGATTTTGTCAAACTGGTCTGGATAGTGGTTGAAAATATCTGAAAACAGCAGGTGAGGGAGCATGACACCAGCCATGTCCAAACAAGGCTTGGAAGTTTTAGGGTCTTGGCATTCTGTTTCCACAGATATTCCCTTGCTGATTCGGCAATCTTTGAGGAATTGTGCACACATATCTCTATGCACATTTCCTCCCTGGGCCCCAAAAGACCCTGTTGCTGCTATTCTCTGAAGGTCTTGGCCTTGAGCACCATCTAGAATGGCTTTGTGTGCCACTTCCTGCACTAGCTTGGCACTCAGCTGCCCATGGCTCCAAAGAGATAGCAGCAGCTCAGACAAGCCCCCTTTGGATCCTTCCCCTTTTCCTTTTGTCAAGGTTTCAGGGATTTGCTTAGCCACTTCCAAATCTGTACCCCTCAGCCTCTTTACTGGCTTCATGGTGGTGACACTAAAGAAAAAACCTTTTGGCAAGGCATGCTTTCCTTTAAGGAAAAGCTTGAACCAAAACCTTGCACAAAACATGCTTTAGACACCCCTTGGCCACACCAACCTTTTAGAGCCCTTAAGCCAACCTGCTGGTTCTCCCAAACTTTGTGGTCCCCATGTATTTTCAAAGTTTTGGTGAAACCCAATACCCCAAAAAAACACGGTGATTTGGTGGTGGATTACCCCCTAAGCCACTGCTTGGTTGTACTGCAGCACTTTTTGAGCTTGGTGCCTCAAATCTGTTTGTCCAACCCAAACCCTTCACCACCCCTTTGGTCAAGGAGGGAAAGGTGTAAGCCAGTTGGGGTGCAAATCACCTTTTGTCAAGGCAATAAGCTGTGCAAGCCATTTCCTTTTGGCAAGGTAATGGCATCATCAAAAAAAGGCTACCCCTTGCCACAGCCAGCTATACATGGACCCTTTTGTCAAGGGTCCAAGGGGCCCTTTAGACAAGGGCCACCTGTGGCTGCTGGTTGTTCTAGTTCTTGCTGGTTTTGGAAAAACTTCTGTTTGCCAATGCTCTGAACTCTTTCACCTCCTTTTTGATTTTGTTGGTGGCTGCCACTGCACCTATGATGTTTTGCTTTGCTGACTCCACATTGCCTCCCTTGCTTTTGCTTGTTATTGCCTTGAGCTTTTGCTCCCACTCCTGGGCTTCTTTCAAAGCTAAGGTGGCATCTTTCCTGTCCTGCTTGGAAGTTCTGCCTGCTGCAGTGGCAGCATCCAAAGCTTCTTGCAAATTGGCCATGGCCACCCTCAGCTGTTCTTTGCTCTTTTGTGCTTTTGTCAAGCACTCAGCCCATTCTTCTTCTGGTGTTTTCTTGTCCTTATCTTCATCTTTGCTATTCTCATCTTCACCATTTGTAAGGGCCAGCAAGCTTTTGGCCCTTCCTTTTCCCTTACCTTTTGGCAAGGTATCTTTTTTGCCTTTTGTCAAGGCACCTTGGCCTTTGAAAGCAACCTCAGCTTCTTGCATGCTGGCCAAAGCCCCCTTGCCCCAAAAGGCCAAAAACTCCTTTTCATCTTCTTCTGTTTCCAATTCCCTTTCCTGGCCTGCTGTCACTTTGTTTTTCCTTTTCAATACTGTTTGTTTGCTTTGGTCTCCTTGGTCGCAATAATTGTACACTCCAGGTGTCCATGGGTCAGACCTCCAAAGAATCCTGCCACTGTTCAAGTGCATGGTGAACTCTTCCTGGCTGAATTCTTGCAGCATTTTCATCTCACTGACCCATTTCTCACCTTTTGTCAAGGTTTCACTTGCTTCTTTGGAAGCTTCTGTGTGGAAGAACATACCTTTCTTGTGCTTGAGAAACCAAAAGACTACCTCAAGCCCTTTTTCCTTTTTTGTGAGTTGCTCATGGGCTGATCTCTCTTCTGGCTTGGCTTTCAAATATGTTTGGTGTTTTGACCACATCTTGGCAGATTCATCTTTTGTCAAGGAATCTTTCAAGGCCAAGGCAGCTTCCTCTGGAGACTGGTTTTCCTCACTCACTTTTTTCACTCTCTCATCCAAACTCAGTTTGCCAAGCTTGGCAAGGTCACCTTTTGTCAAGGTGCTTTTCTGTTTTTTACCTTTTGCCTTGGCTTTGCCCTTTGGGCAAGGGAAAGCTTTGGCTGCAGGTTTCTTCAAAATTCCTTTCCACACATGTTTTTTTTTGGTGGCATGGAGCCTGGAAGCCAAACCTTTTGTCAAGGCTTGGATAAAAAAATGTGGTCAAGGATAGCGGTATTTGTCTTGGGCCAAAAATATAGCTATGCCAAAGAGTTCAAACTAATGAACCAGAGTTTTCATGCACAGCCAGCCTTGACAAAAGGCTTTTAAAAAAAACAGTGAACCTTGAATTTCACCTCAAATTTCAACAGTTTCCAAAATATTCTGGCCAAAAACTAGCCAATACCATTTTGATTAATTTTGACGAATTTTGACCAAATTTGACCAATTTTGACCAAATTTGACCAAATCATGGTTTTTGTCAAATTTGGTCAAATTTGGTCAAATTTGTATTTTTGTTTTTTTTTATGAAAGCATTGTTGATCACCTTTTGCCAAGGTTGAGAGCCATCAAGCCCTGACTAGTTGGGCCTTAACAATTGTTTTTATCCCAAAGAAGCAACATTGAACCCATGATGATTTCCTCAATTCTGTGCACTTTAGTTGGATTGCTAATATGAATTTCAGGTTTCATGAAATTGAAATCCTTGAGAAATGTTGTGTTCAGAATTTATTGCAAACCTGGTTTAAGAAATGTTTCCAAGCATTCATTTGATGGGCTAAAAGTTTTACATGACCTTATTGCACATATATATTTCTATTTATTCTTGAATTTATATGCATGAAATATTTCCATTGCTGTTCCAACCTGTGAACATACCAAAAAAGGTACACAAACAAAAAAAGAAACACTATACATAACTTCTTTAATAATATAAAAATAGTTTAATTTAATAATTCATTGGTTATATATATTTGTTTATTTATTTTTTTATTCATTCATTTATTTATTTGTTTACTTGTTTATTTATTTATTTATTTATTTCACTTTTGCTTATTTGATTTATTGGGTCTTCACCAGGGCCACCCCCTTTTGTCAAGGAGGGGCTTGAAACCCAACTGCAGCCACCATCTCTTTTGTCAAGAGGCAGTGGCATTTTTCAAAAAAAACACTACAGCCACCATCTCTTTTGTCAAGAGGCAGTGGCATTTCTCAAAAAAAAACACTAAAGGCATATCTCTTTTGTCAAGAGACCTGCCAGTGAGGACTGTACAGAGTGTGGGGTAGCTGTGCAGCTTCATGGGATGCCATTTTCTTCCTTTTGTCAAGGAGCAGTGCAGCTCAAGTGTTTCAGCTAACCTTTTGTCAAGGAAAGCTTGCACAGCCTGGGCAAAGGACCTGTAGGTATCAATCCCTTCCCAGTATTTCTCATCCCACTTGGACACCACAGGGTATGTTTCAACACCCCATCTGCTGCATTCATCAATGACCTCCCAGGTGTCATCAAAGACGGTTTTGATGTTGTGGTAATAGCAGGCCTGTGCTTTTCCATAGTTTCCAGTCTTCTCTGTTGTGTAGATTTGCTTTTCCCAGCCCTGCCATACCTTCCAGCTCAGTCTCTTGGTGGCTTGGAAACTGCAAAGGTAGACCTGGTACCCAGCATCTTTCAAAGCATCCAAGGCCCTGATGTTTTGTGGGGACACATTGTCATGCCATTCCAGGGTGTGGTGCCAATCCACTGCGACCTTTTCAGCTTCTTGCAGAGCCAAGGGTGGGCTTTCTTTTTGAACCCATTTTTTTGACCCCTTTTGTCAAGGGGTGACTGGCTTCTGCTTTTCTTGGGGGGTGACTCCTCAGATTCACTTTCAGTCTCAGTGTAGTACTCATACTCACTGGAGCTAGAAGCACCCCAATCCACAACCTCTTGCACTGGTGGCTTTTTTTTCCTCTCAGGCTCCTTCCCTTTCTTAAGTTGCTCTTTGGATGGCCCAAAAGTCTTTGGTGCATCACTGCCTTTTGTCAAGGCATCTTTCTGTTCTGGTGCATCACTGCCTTTTGTCAAGGCATCTTTCTGTTCTGCTGCTGTGGGCTCCTCCTTTACAACTGTTTTGTCAACAGCTGCTTCCTTCACATCCTCCGGTTTGACAGCTTTTTTGTCAAAAGCTGCATGTTTTTCTTTTTCCATGTCCTTTTTCAATTCTGCCTTCTCTTCTTTGCTGGCCAAGTTATACTTGATCTCCAAGGCTGACATCAGGTGTGGTTTCTTGTTGCCATGTCTCTTGTCTTTCTCCCAGTCAACCTTCTTGGAGTGTTCGTCTTCTTTTTCCATAGTGTCATTCTCTCTTTTCATTCCTGCTTCTCTAAACCTGGCCCTTCTTGCATTGCTCACAGTGCCTGACCCAGCTTTTTTCCCTTTGTTGTTCTTCATCCTTTTGGCAAGGATGCTGCACAACAAGGCCTTTGGTCAAGGCACAAGGCTGCTACCCCCACAGGCACCTTTGGTCAAGGTGCTGTGGAAAACAAAAAGGTTTGAGCAAAAAAGGTGCTGCAGAAAACAAACAGATGGCCACAGCACTGGTGCAAGGAACCCTTTTGTCAAGGGCCCACAACATGCTGAAGTGCTAACCTTTGGGGGTGGCATGTTGTTTTGAAATGGGAGGGTGAAAACACTGATGGCTAGCCCCTAAAACCCAAAGAGTTCGAGTGTTTCTTTGAGAAGATTGTGGGAAACCAAACCATCACAACACTGTAATCTGTCCATATCAAAATGGTATCCCCCCACGAATTCTTTGAATAAACTAATATTGGCTAACTTGGATTTAGGTGCACATATGCCTTTGTTGTTGCTGTTGTTGTTTAAAAAAAAATTGCCCTTCTCCAAGAAAAACCAGTATGCATAGGTAAACCAACACATACACATATGTATACCACCATATTTAATTGCCTATGTATGCTTATGCAATATCCATCATTTTGCAAACACCTTAGGAATATATATATATATTTACAGGTGATGATTCAACACAACCTAGATGGTTGGTATTGAAACTTGAGCATGTTTTGCAGTTTTTGGCTTTGTTTTTCTGTTTGGCAAATGGCTGCACAAGTCCCTTTTGGCAAGGGCAACTATAGTGAAACCTTTGCCATGGGGCCAGCCCCTTTTGTCAAGGAGATGGTGCCACTTGCAACACCACACCTTTTTTCAAGGTAGGCAGCTGCTTAAAAATTGGAAAACATGGTCACCAGCCCAGGAGCTCAGCCCTGCTCTTGATGGCTTCTTCCTTGGTGATGTGTTCATTTTCAAGCTTTCTTTTGATGATCCCAATGACCTCTCTGTACTTTGGGCTTTGCTTTCTGGTAACCTCAATGATGAGCTGTGCTTTCTTCCCTGGCCCTGTGCTGCCTGTCAAGTAGGCCCTTTCTGGGTTGGTTGGGTATGTAACATACACCTTGTGCCAGGGTTTTCTGTTGCTGCTTGAGCTGGCTGTGCTGCTTGCAGGTTTTTTTTGCTGTTTTTTTTGATGTTGATTCCTTTTTGGTCCCTAGCCCCATGGCTTTTGTCAAGCCTGTGTCTTTGTCTTGGGGCTTCCATGATGAAGATTGGGCAGCCACCTTATGACCCTTCCTCCTCTTCATGAAAGAACCACCTTTTGGCAAGGGGTCAGCTTTGGATGGCAAGGGTTCTGACTGGCCAGGGCTATTCAGACAAGCTGGGAACCCTGATGAGTTCAAACTTACATCACTTTCATGTTTCTGCAGCTTCCTCCTTTTGTCAAGGGGGGTGTCTCTGCCTTCTGTTCTTCCTCCTCTTCCTCCTCTTCCTCCTCTTCCTCCTCTCCCTCCTCTCCCTCCTCTTCTTTTCCCTCCTCCATACCCCTTTTGTCAAGAGGCTCCTCCTTATCTCTTTTGTCAAGAGGCTCACCATTACAACTATCATTTCCCAGCATGCTTACCAAATTTTTAAGCTGGAGGCAATCCTTTCCTGTCAGTTTCCCCACACACTTTCTCATTTCTTCTTCTGATTTCAACCTTCTCAAGTGTAGCAAAATGACTGTCACCCTCTCAGCCCTCATGTTTGTCCATACTTGGCAATTCCAGTCGGTTTGGTTCATTGCAGGTTTCTCTTGTACCAGTTTCATGATGCTTTGTCTCAGGGGGTTGGGGTGAATTTCCCCAGGAGGAGAAATTTTCAGCAGGTCTTCAAGAAGTGGCAGACAGTGGATGAGACCTTTGGCATCAGTTGCTTGGCTCCTAGAGACTGTCTCATATGCTCCAAAGCTTTTGAGCAGCTCTTCATGTGTGTGAAAAGCCTTGTAGAGAAGGTATGGGTCCACATAGGGTTTGGCAAAATGTTTGTGCCCCCCTTTGCCACTCATTCTCAACCCACCCTTTTGTCAAGAGAGGATTGAACAAAGAACCTTTTGTCAAGGCACACAGCTGGTGACAATGAATAAACCTTTGCAAGCAACCTTCTGTCAAGGAAGCTGCACAGCCTTTGGACAAGGCTGAGGGTGAGACACAAAAGGTCCCTTTCTGAAGCCACAAAACTGCAGGTTCTCAATTGATGAAGCCAAGAGAAATCAATAACCCTGAGGGTCCAGGGATTGAAATTTTTCAATCCAGAATTTTTTCAATCCGGATTGAAACGTCTTCGTTATTGATTTTTTCAATAATAATATTGAAAAAAATCAATATTTTATTGAAAAAAATCAATAATTATTGATTTTTTTTTATTGAAAAAATTCAATAATTATTGAAAAAATGAAGTCTTAATGATTTTGTTTGTAGATATATTATTTCGAGATACCTGCAGCATTTATCTAACTGCTGATGTGTTGAAGGGAATGTGCATCCAGGTTGGAGTATTATATGTATGGCAATTGGTTTCTGCAGCCCTTTCTTTGGCTCAATCAGTTTTTTTGTTGCAAATTCTGAGGCTTGAAAAAAAGCCATGGAGAAAGACCATGGGAAAGGAGGCCTGGAAAAAGGCCAAGGCACCCGAGGTGGAGCTATCAGGAAGCCTAGCTTGGACATGAAAGAGGAAGAATTGTCTCAATTCTTTGACGACATAGTGAGAAAGAAAGGAGCAAAGGCTTTTGATTTTGGGGTTTACAATACCCTTGATGTTGCTCAGGCAGCATCTGCTCAGGGTTTAATGGAGTGCCAAGCGTGGCTCAGAGGCATCTTGCCACTGTGTGATGGCACTCCCAAACCCCTACCATTGAAGAAGCAGGTACTCAGGTTCACTACATTGAATGAGACTGACATGAAGCACAGTGTTTGGGCAAGTTCCATTAGCAGCAAAATAATCACCCTTTTTAATCATTGGCGAAGGCTGAAAAATAATCTTGAGAGAAGGAGGCAATGTCTGCAGAAAGCTACAGAGGTAGAAGCCGAGAGGCTTGGAAATTTGCTGAAGCTGGAGCCAGGGCATGGGGAGGCATGGAGAAATGCCAGCAGTGCCAGCTCGAATGTGGAGGCCTGCAAAAAGGCCAAGAAGGCCAGCCTGGAGCCTGAGGAGCCATGCAAAGGTGCCATGGAAGAACAAGAGGAGGCTTGTGACAAGGCCAGTGACATGGAAGTTGACAAATCTTGGCTTGGAGATGATGGGATTTCTGAAGTGTCCATTGATTCGAAAGGCAGAATTCTTCACAAACTTGACTTTGTGAAGGCAGAATTCTTCACAAACTTGACTTTGTGAAGGCAGAATCCTTCACAAACTGGACTTTGTGAAGGCAGAATCCTTCACAAACTGGACTTTGTGAAGGCAGAATTCTTCACAAACTGGACTTTGTGAAGGCAGAATTCTTCACAAACTTGACTTTGTGAAGGCAGAATCCTTCACAAACTTGACTTTGTGAAGGCAGAAATCTTCACAAACTGGACTTTGTGAAGGCAGAATTCTTCACAAACTTGACTTTGTGAAGGCAGCATTCTTCACAAACTTGACTTTGTGAAGGCAGAATCCTTCACAAACTGGACTTTGTGAAGGCAGAATCCTTCAAAAATTTGACTTTGTGAGGCAGAATCCTTCACAAACTTGACTTTGTGAAGGCAGAATTCTTCACAAACTTGACTTTGTGAAGCAAAATCCTTCACAAACTGGACTTTGTGAAGGCAGAATTCTTCACAAACTGGACTTTGTGAAGGCAGAATCCTTCACAAACTTGACTTTGTGAAGGCAGAATCCTTCACAAACTTGACTTTGTGAAGGCAGAATTCTTCACAAACTGGACGTTGTGAAGGCAGAATTCTTCACAAACTTGACTTTGTGAAGGCAAACTCCTTCACAAACTGGACTTTGTGAAGGCAGAACCCTCCACAAACTGGACTTTGTGAAGGCAGAATTCTTCACAAACTGGACTTTGTGAAGGCAGAATCCTTCACAAACTTGACTTTGTGAAGGCAGAATCCTTCACAAACTTGACTTTGTGAAGGCAGAATCTTCACAAACTTGACTTTGTGAAGGCAGAATTCTTCACAAACTTGACTTTGTGAAGGCAGAATCCTTCACAAACTGGACTTTGTGAAGGCAGAATTCTTCACAAACTTGACTTTGTGAAGGCAAAATCCTTCACAAACTGGACTTTGTGAAGGCAGAATTCTTCACAAACTGGACTTTGTGAAGGCAGAATCCTTCACACACTTGACTTTGTGAAGGCAGAATCCTTCACAAACTTGACTTTGTGAAGGCAGAATCCTTCACAAACTGGGCTTTGTGAAGGCAGAATCCTTCACAAACTTGACTTTGTGAAGGCAGAATCCTTCACAAACTGGACTTTGTGAAGGCAGAATTCTTCACAAACTGGACTTTGTGAAGGCAGGATTCTTCACAAACTAGACTTTGTGAAGGCAGAATTCTTCACAAAATTGACTTTGTGAAGGCAGAATTCTTCACAAACTTGACTTTGTGAAGGCAGAATCCTTCACAAACTGGACTTTGTGAAGGCAGAATCCTTCACAAACTTGACTTTGTGAAGCCAGAATCCTTCACAAACTTGACTTTGTGAAGGCAGAATCCTTCACAAACTTGACTTTGTGAAGGCAGAATCCTTCACAAACTAGACTTTGTGAAGGCAGAATTCTTCACAAACTTGACTTTGTGAAGGCAAAACCCTTCACAAACTGACTTTGTGAAGAATTTTGCCTTCACAAACTTGACTTTGTTTTGTGAAGGCAGAATTCTTCACAAACTGGACTTTGTGAAGGCAGAATTCTTCACAAACTTGACTTTGTGAAGGCAGAATCCTTCACAAACTTGACTTTGTGAAGGCAGACTCCTTCACAAACTGGACTTTGTGAAGGCAGAATCCTTCACAAACTTGACTTTGTGAAGGCCGAATCCTTCACAAACTTGACTTTGTGAAGGCAGGACCCTTCACAAACTTGACTTTGTGAAGGCAGAATCCTTCACAAACTTGACTTTGTGAAGGCAGATTTCTTCACAAACTTGACTTTGTGAAGGCAGAATTCTTCACAAACTTGACTTTGTGAAGGCAGAATTCTTCACAAACTGGACTTTGTGAAGGCAGAATTCTTCACAAACTTGACTTTGTGAAGGCAGAATTCTTCACAAACTGGACTTTGTGAAGGCAGAATCCTTCACAAACTTGACTTTGTGAAGGCAGATTCTTCACAAACTTGACTTTGTGAAGGCAGAATTCTTCACAAACTGGACTTTGTGAAGGCAGAATTCTTCACAAACTTGACTTTGTGAAGGCAGAATCCTTCACAAACTGGACTTTGTGAAGGCAGAATTCTTCACAAACTGGACTTTGTGAAGGCAGAATTCTTCACCAAAACTTGACTTGTGAAGGCAGGGAATCCTTCACAAATGACTTTTGTGAAGGCAGAATCCATTCACAACCTGGATTGGTGACGGCCGATCCTTCAACACTTGAAATTTGTGAGGCAGGATTCTCCACAAACTGGACTTTGTGAAGGCAGAATCCTTCACAAACTGGACTTTGTGAAGGCAGAATCCTTCACAAACTTGACTTTGTGAAGGCAGAATTCTTCACAAACTGGACTTTGTGAAGGCAGAATCCTTCACAAACTTGACTTTGTGAAGGCAGAATTCTTCACAAACTAGACTTTGTGAAGGCAGAATGCTTCACAAACTGGACTTTGTGAAGGCAGAATCCTTCACAAAAGTGACTTTGTGAAGGCAGAATTCTTCACAAACTTGACTTTGTGAAGGCAGAATCCTTCACAAACTGGACTTTGTGAAGGCAGAATTCTTCACAAACTGGACTTTGTGAAGGCAGAATCCTTCACAAACTTGACTTTGTGAAGGCAGGACCCTTCACAAACTTGACTTTGTGAAGGCAAAATCCTTCACAAACTTGACGTTGTGAAGGCAGAATCCTTCACAAACTGCACTTTGTGAAGGCAGAATCCTGCACAAACTTGACTTTGTGAAGGCAGAATCCTTCACAAACTTGACTTTGTGAAGGCAGAATTCTTCACAAACTTGACTTTGTGACGGCAAAATCCTTTACAAACTGGACTTTGTGAAGGCAGAATTCTTCACAAACTTGACTTTGTGAAGGGCAGCACACGCAGATTCACAAAATTGACTTTGTGAAGGCAGAATTCTTCACAAACTTGACTTTGTGAAGGCAGAATTCTTCACAAACTTGACTTTGTGAAGGCAGAATTCTTCACAAACTTGACTTTGTGAAGGCAGAATTCTTCACAAACTTGACTTTTTGAAGGCATAATTCTTCACAAACTTGACTTTGTGAAGGCAGAATCCTTCACAAACTTGACTTTGTTAAGAATTTTGCCTTCACAAACTTGACTTTGTGAAGGCAGAATTCTTCACAAACTTGACTTTGTGAAGGCAGAATCCTTCACAAACTAGACTTTGCGAAGGCAGAATTCTTCACAAACTTGACTTTGTGAAGGCAAAATCCTTCACAAACTGACTTTGTGAAGAATTTTGCCTTCACAAACTTGACTTTGTTTTGTGAAGGCAGAATTCTTCACAAACTGGACTTTGTGAAGGCAGAATTCTTCACAAACTTGACTTTGTGAAGGCAGAATCCTTCACAAACTTGACTTTGTGACAGGCAGAAATTCTTCACAAACTTGGACTTTGGAAGGCGAACCTTCACAAAATAGACTTTGTGAAGCCAGAATCCTTCACAAACTTGACTTTGTGAAGGCAGGACCCTTCACAAACTTGACTTTGTGAAGGCAGAATCCTTCACAAACTTGACTTTGTGAAGGCAGAATTCTTCACAAACTAGACTTTGTGAAGGCAGAATGCTTCACAAACTGGACTTTGTGAAGGCAGAATCCTTCACAAACGTGACTTTGTGAAGGCAGAATTCTTCACAAACTTGACTTTGTGAAGGCAGAATCCTTCACA